TGTAGAGAAGGATGGCGGCGAGGAGGGGGCAAAGGCTGAGAAGCAGTCTTATGGGATAGAAAGTATCAGCTTAGTAAAAGGAAATTCAGACAAAGGACAGTGCTAGTCTAGTCACCCTTGGTAATTTTTTAAATAGGTTATATTTTGCACCAGAAACGCCAACATGGTCATTCAGGGACAAGCAACTGGAAAGGGGAGGTGATGGTAAGAAGATTGGCAAGAAGGCTGCAGTGACAGGCCAGAAGAAAATCCACAGGGCATTTCAGAGGCCAGGCCCAGGCTTTGGTGCCACCACTGGCTGCTGGGGGCTGTGGACCAATTGCTAACCTTCTCTAGGCCTTGGTTTCCTTATCTGTAAGATGTGAACCTCATCTCAGCACTTTTTCACTTTAAAGAAGTAAAATTCTGTTCTCTTGAGGATGTCCAAAGCTGAAATGATGGTACTCAGCCCTGGGGGAAAAGGTTGCCTTACAGTTTGCTGTGGGCCCTGGGGTTATTCACTGCCTTTGTTTCCATTCTGCTTATCTTCATTTTCTGTTCTTTTCTACAGGTGCTATTTATGTAACAAAAGTTGCAGTGCCTTAAGAAACTAAGCCCTCCCACCACCACACTCTCTCACACATGCACTCATCTATAAAATAAAAGAATTTAAATGTCAGGGTTTTTTTTTTCTGAGCTCACTATTTTTTTTATGATTTTTTTCCATTTATTGGGGTACAGGTGGTATTTAGTTACATGAGTACATTCTTTAGTGGTGATTTGTGAGATTTTGGTGACATATCACCTGAGCAGTATACACTGCACCATATTTGTTGTCTTTTATCCCTTGCTCCCCTCCCTCCCCTCCCCCCAAGTCCCCAAAGTCCATTGTATCATTCTTATGCATCTGCATCCTCATAACTTAGCTCCCACATATCAGGGAGAACATACGATGTTTGGTTTTCCATTCCTGAGTTACTTCACTTAGAAGAATAGTCTCTAGTCTCATCCGGGTCACTGCAAATGCTGTTAAATCATTCTTTTTTATATGGCTGTGTAGTATTCCATTGTATGCCACAGTTTCTTTATCCTCTCATTGATTGATAAGCATTTGGGTTTGTTCCACAATTTTGCAGTTGTGAATTGTGCTGCTATAAACATGCGTGTGCCAGTATATTTTTTTGTATAATGACATCTTTTCCTCTAGGTAAATACCCAGTAGTGGGATTGCTGGATCATATGGTAGTTCTACTTTAAGTTCTTTAAGGAATCTCCACATTGTTTTCCACAGCGGCTGTACTAGTTTACATTCCCACCAGCAGTGTAGAAGTGTTCCCTGTTCACTGGAAACCAACATCTACTGTTTATTGATGTTTTGGTTATGGCCATTCTTGCAGGAGTAAGGTGGTATCACATTGTGGTTTTGATTTGCATTTCCCTGATCATTAGTGATGTTGAGCATTTTTTCATATGTCTGTTGGTCGTTTGTGTATCTTCTTTTGAAATTGTCTATTCATGTCCTTAGCCCACTTTTTGGTAGGATTGTTTTTTTGTTTGTTTGTTTGTTTTTCTTACTGATTTGTTTGCTTAAATGTCAGTATTTAAAACACCTATAGCTAAATGCCCACTATCGGGGAAAGGCCACGAATACTGTTTAAATTACATGTTAATTTCCTAATAATTCCAGAAGGCATCTGAGTAGAGTTGCTACACTTGTCCGAGTTCACATTCACAGGCAGGACGCCACAGTGCAGATGGCCCCCAGCTTATGATGGTTTGACTTTACAGTGGTGCAGAAGCAACATGCATTAAATAGAAACTGAACTTCAAGTACCCATGCAACCATTCTGTTACTCACTTTCAGTTCAATGTTCAATGAATCACGTAAGATATTCAACGCTTTATCCTCAGTAGGCTTTGTGTGAGATGGGTTTGCCCAGCTGCAGAGGAAGGTAGGTATTCTGAGCATGTGTAAGGCAGGCTAGGCTCAGCTGTGACACTCAGTAGGTTACCTGTGTTCAATGCACATTTTTTTTTTTTTTTTTTGAGACGGAGTTTCACTCTTGTCACCCAGGCTGGAGTGCCATGGTGTGAGCTCACTGCAATGTCCGCTTCCCAGGTTCAAGCGATTCTCCTGCCTCAGCCTCCCGAGTAGCTGGGCTTAGAGGTGCCCACCACCATGCCCAGCTAATTTTTATATTTTTAGTAGAGACAAGGTTTCACCATGTTGGCCAGGCTGGTCTCAAACTCCTGGCCTCAGGTGATCCACCCACCTCAGCCTCCCAAAGTGCTGGGATTATAGGCGTGAGCTACCGAGCCCGGCCTCAACGTACTTTCAACTTCAGAAACCCTTGGGCCATAACCCATCATAAGTAGGGGAGCATCTGTACTAAGCTCCCGTGGTACCTTTGGTTTTGCTTTCATTGTTTAAAACATTACTTTGCCATGAAGGCCTAGCTTCCCCACAGACTCACAGATGAAAAGCATCTTATCTACAAGCCACGAAAGAGGAAAAAGACTCCTAAGATGCGGTTGGGGGATATTTCATCAGTTTAATATCACAAAGGATGTTTCCTAAAAAATATTGATAGACGAATACAGAACAGATCAAATTGAAATGAGCAGAATGGGACAAACAGCCCACTGGAATGGCGTGTGCAGAGAAGTGTCAGCTTTATCTCAGTGTTAATAGAGTCAAGTGCCTCTGCAGATGACTTTATGCTCTGTGAAAAAAAAATCACACCAGTATCTACCTCTTCCTCCCTCCTACCACCCAACCTTGCGCCATGCAGGCTCAGTTTGTATTTTTGCCATCAATTTAGAAATTCAAGAGAACTTAAGAGTATAATTTTGCTTCCCAAGTTAAGATAAATGTGAGAATTTAAACAGCTGCGCTTTATAGGAATTAAGATAATATCCAATGCCTCTTTTGCAGACAATATTTTCCATTGGATTAAACCTGCTAGGGTTCATCATTTTAGAACCCATTATGTTTTATTGAAGGAAGCCCATTTGTTTGTGATGGATTTTATGAAAAGAGCATTTTCCAAAGAAAAGCTAGGACCCAGCATCATTTTGCCAGGAACATTTTATGCCTACCTATTTGTAGAACTCTACATAAGCCCACCTTGAGGAAAGTAGCTACAGAAACAGACTGGGACTATTCTTTCACCATAACTATCCACCTCCCAGGTTCCCCCACACACCAGACTTGGGCTGGATGAGCTGGTCAGTATTTGCACAAAACTTAAATATCATCCAAGAATGTTTTTCCTATTAGGGTAACTTTGTTATAAAAATATGAATTTGATGTTCCATCATGATTGTCTCAAAAGAAAGAATGTGTAGTTCACATTTCCTAGATTGAGCCGTTAGAATTTTGCCTAATTTCGTAACTCGAGACATCTCTATGGGGTGCTTCTTCCATGCACAAGAAACCCCAAGGCTTCCTGGGTGTTGGGGCTGGTGATGGGAGTGGACGAACTCGTTCGCTTTGGCTCAGAGCCGCCCTGATGTTTCTGTTCCTGGCACGGGTATGCTCCCAAGGCTCAAGGCACGGCGTGGGAAAAGCGTTCGCTGCATGGAGCGGGCAGTCGGTGCATCTTCTCATCGACACTGGAGTCCCTCTGCCCTTCGCAACCAGCTCAAGCAGGGCCATGGTGGGGGCGACAGTGACAACCTGGGACCTCCTAACAGGCGGCCTCAGAGTGCCCACCCTGAGCCAGGCAATTGTCCCCCACCACCACGCCCACCCGGATGCAGGGGAGTCGTGCTAAACAGCACACGTGCCCGATGCACCTGCTCCCGTGTGAGCCGGGCCAGCATGGCAGGGTGTGTGTTTGCTGCATGGGTTCAGGTTGGCTGTGATCAAAACTTCCACTAGACGGCACAATGAGCTGAGATTCCCGCCTCGCTGTGTCCAGCCCTCCCTCCCTGCGTGTCTCTTTCTCCGCCTATCTCCTGGAACCGGCCCAGTGGGCAGGGAGGGACCATCCCAGCTCCTTGGATCAATAGAAGGGGATGTCAGGGGGTGGGTGGAAGGTGAGAAGGGCTTGAAGCCCCGGGCCTGACAATGGAGTGCGCTGCTGCTTTGCAGCAAAGGATGATGTGTGCACGCACATGCTTTATTTTCTTGTGTGGACACACTTGGAACCTATGTCTACACATGACACGCGGCACCTTGCAAATGCGCAAGCAGAGTGACAGCAGATGAGGCTGTCACTTCCTGGGGTGCCATAGTGCAGCTGGGTTTGGTCCTTTGAAATGCTTTTCCTTAAAATCAGGGCCAGTTCCCAACCATACAGACGAATGAGAAGCGAGCGGGCTGTGCTGGCGGCACAGGGGTCTTTGTGGAGGGTGATTTTCAGAAGGCCTTTGTTTCCTCGTCTGCTCATAGTAATGCTCACTGACAAGCACCAGAAAAATTAAGATTGGAACAGCCAAGGGTCAAAATATTTGCTTCCATCCATTTGTGTTTGTTTCATGCTAGAAGCTGTTCCGCATTTTGCACGGATCAAAGCAGCCGGGTCTCTGAACTGCATCACACCCGGTGGGTTCAGAAAATTGTGTTGGTTTTAAGAAAAATGACTTCTATGCAAGCAGAAATGGGAACGTGGGATGGCCCCAGCAAGAGCTTGGTCCAAGCTCCCTGTCCCTGTAATTAAAGGATATGATAATTGTTGTCATCTCAGTGGTAAACTGATCCCCAAACACATACCTAACACCCGAGGTTATATTTACACGTGTAAAATCTGTGTAATAACAATGCGCATATTCACTTAACAGTCGCATGGTGTTATATGCATTGTGCACCATAGCACATGTTGGAGGAAACGAGAGCTTCTAATTAAATGACGTCACACCACAGCCCAGGCCTATGTGCATTGCAGGCACGGCCCAGGCTTGTGAGCATGGTGGGCACAGCCCACGCGGCATGTGCGAAGGCCTCTGCTGCCTTTTGTGCATCTGCCAGTCTGGGCTCCCCACTCAGGAGCACTCCTGACCCTGTGTTTCACTTTCAGTCCTACATGGAGGACCACCTGAAGAACAAGAACCGGCTGGAGAAGGAGTGGGAGGCGCTGTGTGCCTACCAGGCGGAGCCCAACAGCTCACTTGTGGCCCAGAAGGAGGAGAATGTGCCCAAGAACCGCTCCCTGGCCGTGCTGACCTGTACGTACCAGCTCCAGGGGCGGGAGGCCAGGGTGACAGGAGGGGGAAACTGGCCGTGCTGACCTGTACATACCAGCCCCAGGGGCGGGAGGCCAGAGTACAGGCCAGGGAAACAGCCCCGTCCTCAGGGTCTGGACAGTCCTCCCCTCCTCCTTCCCGGCACCCCCTCCTCTACAGCAGACCTGCCCGCTCTGGGAAGGCCCTCATGGGAGTCTCCCCTCTGCAGTGCCATCCCCAGCCCAACCAACAAGGACCCAGTGTCTTCCTTTCCTCCAGCACGGGCTTGGGGACATCTGCACCCCAGTGGGCATCAGCTCTATTGTTCTCTGTCGCCGTGTGACTTGAGACATGTTCCTGAACCTCTTGGAGCCTCCACGTCACATCTGTAATTGGGGTCATGCTGTTGTCCTTGAAATATTGCTGCTGTAAGGATTAGATGGGGTCGTTAGCGTAGCACCAGCACACCTGAGGCACAGGATGAACAGTGGTCGCTTTTACAGCGTCTTTAACTTTACAACCATTTCCACAAACATTACTGAGCACCTACTACCTAGCTAGGGATCATTGCCAGAAAATGGAAACGTAAGCCAGCAGTTCTCCAAGTGACTCGCGTGGAGCGGAGGAGACACCGTCCCGTGTTCCCGCAGCGCAGGAGGCACTAAGTTGCTTACGGGATGAGGAGGGAGAGGGCCGCCCGGCGCTGGCGTCCACCTCACTCACCCTCTGTGTGTACAGCAGGTTCCAAGGGAGGTTCCGCACTTTGCTTGGTTATAAACCCACCCGCTGGGAGGAAGGGGGTGCTAGATGTGTTCCTGACCAGAGTTTCGGAGGGAAGTAGATACTCACAATGTTGATTCATGAATGATATGAATGATAAATGACAGTATGGGTAGAGTTCCTTGGTTACTCTCCTGAGGACCCTAAGACAAGGCCCTCGCCCATATCTCTGATGTGACAGAGGGGGCTCCATCAGCTCATACTTCGAGAGCACCACTCGGCCACACTCACTTTCAGCATCACAGCAGCAGGCGGGACCAGTGTCCCCTGTGGCCGAGGCCATCTCTCTGTCACTGTGTCCCTGCCTCAGCCCTTCAGAGCCAGTCAAGGGACCAGACTGGTGTCCCTGAGACACCACCTGGCCTTGTGCCCAGAAGCACAGCCCCCCAGGGCAGCCCCAGTGCACGCCAGGGAGAGGCGCTGCCCTTCCACTCCTTCCAGCCCACAGGAAGTGTTACCGGTCAGAACAGAGAGAAGCTGGAATCTTGTTTTCCTTCAGAAACTAACCTGGGGCATTGCAGACCTGTGTAAAATCCCATTCACCCATGTGGGTGCACGCTTCTTGCTACCCATTTAGTGTTCAGACCACTTTCTATGAGGTCTGAGGGTTTTAACCCTAAAGAGATCTAAAAACAGAAGCTGTTGTGATTTATAAAGTTTATATTTAGAAGAAAAGCAAAATACAATACATCCCATCAGCCAACTAACAGATATTTACTAAGCACCTACTGTGTGTCGGGGGCTATTGACAGGCTCTGGGACTCACGATGGACCAAGGGGGGCCTGGCCACTGTCCTCAGAGAGGAGCAGCCTGGGGGAGGAGAGGGTGGGGAGCGAAGCCGGTGTGGTAGGGCAAGTGAGGGTGGCGGTGAGGGGGTGTCCTGCTGAGTCCTGAGTGGTGACATGGTTCATGGTAAACAGCCATGCAGTAAGCGTGCATTACATGTCTCTGTGTGTCTGGTCGTTTACTTGGATTGTGAGGTGTTTCATGGTAAATATTAGTCTGACAGCACACCCTCCCCAGAGACAGCCCAGAGCATGGCAGAAACGACCTGGCGATGGGGTTTTCCTCCCGTGTGCCCTGCAGCCACCTGGGCTCTGTCTGTGCAGTGTGGATGGGGCTTTGGGGGCAAGGGACCTAGTGATGGTGAAGTGGTCCATGCTCAGATGGGACACAGGCAGCCTCTCAAGGTAGCAGCCAGCGCCAACAGGGCAGCCACACGTGGATGGGTGCCTGATGTTCTTGTGGGGATCAGGATGGCCCTGCCCACTTTGAGCCAGGTCACGGGTGAAGGGGGGGAAGCACCTCCCTCCTGAGACTCACGCTGGAGCCAGAAGGAAGCCACTTGCACCTCCTCCCAGGGTTCTCCTGACCCATGTGCCAGGATGTGAAGACACAGCGCTGCCCTTCAGGATTGAGAGGCCACCAGGGAAGACAGAGAAGGGCAAGTTCATCTCCTGGGAGAACCCTAGATAGAAATATTTTCATGAACACATGGGTTTATTCTGAGCAAACTTGTATTCCCTACTTTCTTCTCCATACTCCTGGCCGTCTTGCCTTTAGGAAGGAGATCTTGTCCTCAGGGGGACAGTGGCTTGGCTAAAGCTCTCCCTGTTGCCAGGCCCCGGAGAGATGGCCGCCTCCTTCGTCTTCGCTCCTGCCTCACCTGCGGCCGCTGCACTCTGCATGGGACACAACTGGCTCCAAAACAGCCACACACGGTCCAGGAGGACCAGCTTCCCCATGGCTCTGTGGCTTGGAAAGGCCCGTGCTGCACTGTCATGGCAGGTGGGTGGCGCTCGAGCTGGGCTCCACGCTGTCCTCCGTGTCGCCATGGAAGCGAGTCCACATGCTGGGCGCACACTATCCTCTGTGCGGGGATGGAAGCAAATCCGAGTACTCGGGCACGCTGTCCTCCGTTCGGGATGGAACCTTTGGGATGGAGTCCTCCCTCTGCACCTGGCACTCCCACCGTGTCCTTTCCTCACGCTCACTGGGCACTCCCAGGTCTATTGAAGGGGTCCTTGGGACCACTCCTCCCTTCTCTCCTGCCTTGTCTTCCCCATGGAGCACTTCCCCGGGTCATTCTTCCACCCAGGAGATGGACACGGTCGCCTGACTTCCTGGATGCACCTTGAGCATGAGCCTCCGAATGAGCCCCCAAAGGAGAAGGAAACCCACACTATGAGATGCTTGGCTGGCAGCATGCTAGGTCTAGTTGTATTATCTCGGAAGTTTAAAGAACTTAATATGCATTTTCTGTTATTTGAATGCTTAAAAAAGAATTATGCAGCATTTCACTTGTCTGCATTTCAAATTAAGAATGGGGATATGATACTATTTTGGTGCCATATCCTAAACAAAAAAATATTTTTGCCTCTATGTTGTAATAACGAGAGAGAGAGAGAGAAACAAGACAGAAACAATGCAGAGAGAGAAGACAGAGACAACGAAGAGCTGAAGGCCCAGGGACAGGAAGACAGTGAGGAGAGTCATGTGGGGTTCACATCTCCCGGCTTCTGAGGGCATTGCTGCTGGAGGATCATAGCCGCCTCACATCCAGAGGCGCGGCTGTGAGCATCTCCCAGGCCCTTGCCTTACAGCGTCACCATTCCCAGGAGTCAGGGTCACCACGCTGGCCCTGCGCTGCAGCTGCGTGAGCGTCGTCCTAACCGTGGCATCGCCAGGGCATGGTGAGCCAGTGTCCCCCATGCCTGTGAATGTGCCGTCTCTGGTCCTCACAATAAACCCCCTTACTTGGCAGACAAGAACTTCGGGGTTTAGAGCCTGGCCCATTGGAGCTGAAGCCCAGACTCCCCAGTGCCAGCCTCATAGGCTGTCGTGGGCTCACCTGAGATTGTGTGTGTGTGTTGAGAAAATCTACGTCCATTACAAACTCCTGCAGAAGTATTTGAAACATGTACAAGGGCTGAAGCACTTTGGCTAAGCATAGCTTTCCTTAGAATACTCAGAAAACAATTTCTTTCTAAATAAACCTTTGGTTTATTTTTTTTTTTTTCTCTCCCAAAACTCTAAGCAGAGTCCCCTAAGAGGAATATTTTGCCTTGGTTTCTTCTGAGTGACCGAAAATTATCATGATTTGCTTTTAAAGATCAATACATGGGTGATTCTCCTAACTTTGATGATTAAGCCAGGGTTTTCTTTTTCCTTCCATAGAAAAAGGTTCTGAGCATATATGTCACCTCGCCAAGAAAGTCGCAGGAGAGAGACTCCCAACCTGGCTGCCTTCCCTCCACCCCTTTTGATCTCAGCGCCAGCCGACTCTGCCCCTAGGATTTGGGAGGGCTGTCAGTTTGTTGGTACTGAAAAGAAAATATCCCAGCAAATTCGGTGTGGGCCTTTTTCTTTGCTACCTCACAGGCAGAAGCTGTTCTGGGCAGCTGTTCTACCAGAGACTGCAGATTCTTTTTTAGGGAAGAGATCTACGGAGTCCTTCTCATTAGGCTACTTCTCGAAGGGAAAGATTGTCTAAAAGCATCATCTCTGAACTAGAACTGCAAGTGCACCTTCTGTGAGCATTTCAGGACCTCTGGTGCCAAGAAACAGTGCTGGCGGGTTGTCAGTTAGGAGCCGCACTGACATTCCACACAGTTCAGCTGCTCAAAGTTCAGATTTTAGATCCTCTTTACTCTCTTTCTTAAAGCTGAACCGATAGGTTCGTAAGATGTCTGGCCTGGTGTGGCATGGCTGTCTGTCCTTCTCACATCCTCCTTCCGATTCCACTTACAGAATCTTCGTGCGGGGAGGGTGTCGCAGAGTGTGGGGCGAGCCTGGCCTTCAGGATGCCAGCGGCCAGGCTTACCCTCTCCTGGGCGTGCTGTTTCCCTGTGACCTGGAAGATCCACCCTCCAGAGGGGCCCCAGGTCCCAGTGTGCTTCTTCCTGGATCAGGCCTCCCCCTTTATCCACCATAAGTTACATTCATCCTGCCAGGTGCACATCTCAGTGCTGGCTGATCCTGAGGCCAAGCCCACTAACATCCAGAGTCTTTCCTTAAGGTCTTCGGTGAAGCCGAGGGCCTCGCGCACCCCCTGTCCCCCACCCCCCGTTGGTGACCGTCAAGTTTAACAGGAGAATCGAGCCTTGTGTTCATCTCCTGTAACCGATTCTTATTCAGCCTCCAGAGCTTGTGGTTCCTGAGTCACCGCGTCACCTCCCTCTCCGCTCGGCGCCATCTGCTCGTTTTATAAACATGTTTTTCA